TGCTGATATCTGGTTGAATTTCACATCTTACTGGGATATTCTTGATATTGTTATTAAAGGAAAACCAAAGTACTGGGCCTTAATAATCATTCTAAAGTCAAAGTGTTAAATCTTGTCCAGATTCCATCTCTGCAACAGCCACAATACCTTTTTACCTATTATTTCCCACATATGTCATTGAGCTTAGTCCATTTCTGCAAGTGGGTAAAATCATCATTGCTGTCTCTAATTTTGACACTTTTTTTTATATATATATATATATATATATATATATATATATATATATATATATATATAATCAATAAGCATGTGTGGGTAGACATTATATATGGGTAAAGTGTATGTGTGTGTCACCCCATATATATATATATATATATATATATATATAGATTAATGCATATTTGGGCAGCAACTTTTCTTTTAAACATTTTTCACTAAATATAACAAAGAAAATGTAATTAATCTTTATTCAGTTTTTCCAGCATTCTTAGATTTTTCCATTTGGTGGAAGTAAGGGAATGCAAAAATTGTCTATTGTCCCAAACACTTTCTACCACTTCTTTAGCCATTTTCAAGGGGGTTTGTTTTAGGTGTTGTTAATTTCTCTTCATGTTTTGACTTTTTAAGATGTATTTTTTGTGTTGTTTTGAATACTCAGTAGGAGTGTTTATTCGTGTTGAGTATGGCTAGAACTATATACGTATAACATGCAGCAAGTTGTACAAATGTCAAGTCTGCAGCTAGGATAGGGGAAATCATTGATCCAGCAATTTAAATGTGATGAATGGGGTAGAGTATGTTGCTCCACTGCAGGTCTTGTTAACCACAAGAAGAGTCATACTAGTAAAACTTTCATAAAATATGATCAGTACTAAATTGGAAATAACTTAACATACAGGATGTGTCAGAAAAGATGCAAAAACTGCTCACACCACATGAAAACCCACAAGCAAGCTTAGTGGACTACATTTGTAATAAGCTTTGTAAGTCACTTACTAGTTTCAAGAGACAATGTCATTCTCACAAGAACTTAAAACATTGATCAAATTTGTCAGCAATGGCCATACTTATTTAACAAGCTAACAATCATATATATATGTAAAGACATGTCTCATTGAATAATTTAGACAAGTTTTGTCTACTTGTTTTCAATAGGATCCTCTCATATTCACAGACAAGCTTCTTAGTATCCTTAATAAGGATTATTCAGTGAGACATGTCTTAATGAAAACATGTTGCCAAAATATATGCTATATATATATATATATATATATATAAGAAATGGACAAGGTCCGACAATTTATTTATTAAAAGACATTTTTATGTTTAACGTTGTTATTTTATAGATACAAGTATTTAAGCAAATGCTCTGTTTATGATAAACAGTATTAAATAACATTTACGCCTGATAATCGAGAAATTTTCATAGAAAATTTTTGTTCTTTGACAGGATTCGAACCTGCATCCTATCTGGAACCGTCATATATGTGCTGACGTGCCTTTTACCTCTAGGCTACAAAGAACCAATCGGTAGACAAGGTCGAATTTACTGCTTATAAACTCCAATCTTCCATGAATCTCGTACATTCATAACTGCTCTGGCGTACCAATGTAAACAAATGACGTCATATGTTAAGAAATGGACAAGGTCCGACAATTTATTTATTAAAGACATTTTTTATGTTTAACGTTGTTATTTTTATAGATACAAGTATTTAAGCAAATGCTCTGTTTATGATAAACAGTATTAAATAACATTTTGCCTGAATGTCCGAGAAATTTTCATAGAAATTTTCGTTCTTTGACAGGATTCGAACCTGCATCCTATAATGGAACAATCATATACGCTGACGTGCCTTTCATTCAGGCCGGTAAATGTTATTTAATACTGTTTATCATAAACAGAGCATTTGCTTAAATACTTGTATCTATAAAATAACAACGTTAAACATAAAAAATGTCTTTAATAAATAATATATATATATATAATACCAAATTGTATTGCAAAGAGGAGTTTTAGTCTATATGAAAGCTCAATGTATGATACATATGATACAGAGAAAATTATAATAATAATTAGGAAAAACCTTAAAAATTCATTGTCAGTAATAAATTTATTTCGATGAATATAGGCATATTCATCGCATCAGACTGACTACATTTTATGAAATATAGTCGGTCTGATGAGATGAATATGCCTTTATTCATTGAAATAAATTTATTACTGACAATGAATTTTTAAGGTTTTTCCTAATTGTTATATAAGAATTAATTGATTTTATTTTTTTAATCTAACATATTCTTATTACTTTCAATGATGTTATTTTTAGTGGATATCAGTGTAGGAGTAGACACTCCATTTTTTTAGTCTGCACACTAGAGAAAAATTAATTTTGTTATCAATATTGCTTGAGTACATAGACTGGTAGATGAAATAAAACAGAGCATCTACTCAAATATGGGTATCCACTAAAAATAACATTTGAAGTGTATACCTGCATGAATTCGATAAAGTAGTTAGAAAAGTTTGTCAAAATCATACATTACAAAGTTGCCTGCATGATTTAAAGCTATATAACATGATTCTAAATATACATGTAAATATACACACTAATTAAATACACATATTAACTTAACTACATATATAATATATATTCATTTATATCAATAAAAATACATATTAACATACATATATGCTCCAATACATTACACAATATACATATGTTTGTGTGTGTGTATGCATGTCGCAGTTGGAACAGACATTAATGATCTTATCACTACATACACATCTATACATAGACTTTAACACACACAGATTGAGAAAATATAAGATATACTACCACTTGACAGGGACAGATCTCTACAAAGCAAGTGAACTTTACACTTCCACACATGTACATACGTAAAAAAAGAAAAAAAATGCTTTAATGTACTTATAGATACCTACACGTATCCAACCGTTTTACCTTCCAGATGTTTCTATATTATTTTTATGATTGCTTTTCAGTTATCATGGCTGAAGATGAAAAGCTACATTCACGTATTATGGCATCACCTGTCGACATGGGCTGGACATGCTTCATGCATGATTATGCACAATTATTAAATAGCACCACAAGACATTCACATTCTTTTTATTCTCTTCTTTATCTATTTTTCTCTCCCTCTCTCCTATTATATTTTCACTCATCTGCTTGTTTTTTTCTTTTAACTTCCTTCTCTTCATCTACTTCACAAACATATGCCTATCTCTCTCTGTCACTGCTTATTTCCCAGATGATCTTGTCGCCTTTTATATGGTGCTTCCTGTACAACAGAAGCAAATAAGCCAAAAGTAACATTTTTAGAAAATGGTACTTCAACTTGCCTAAGCATATGCTGAATGTAAGTCGGCAAGATATATTGGATATTTTTTGCCTTTTCACTACAGAAACAAATCAACCACTCAAAATATATATTAAACTCTTTGAAAATACTGCACAGGACAGAGATCAAAAGGTTTGAGGGAGATCAATCCTTACAATTTGATGTTAAACTTAACTCAGACTGGTACAAGATCACAACAGTGAAGCATCTAATAAGAATAAGATTTATTTATTTTATTTAATGAGGAAAGAAGACTTGGAGAATTTGACACTCACATGACATTATTTAAAGCAAGAGGGTCAGATGAAACCATTGAGTAACTGAGCTAACAAGCTTGTGTAAGTGTTTGGCAGAACCGAGACTGGGATGTTATAATAAGAGGACAAACATTTTTAGGAAAAAAAAACAATAGATTCTGCATTTGATATTTTTCAAATCTCTAAAAATATTACAAATTCTTATATAATGAATAATTATCATCATGTTTAAATGTTTAAAGGTACTGAACAGTTTTAATTATGATAATTTCACTAATAATATTTTATGGCATAAACAAATCTGTCAAGCAAAGAAATAAATGTATGCAGAGAAAAGAGACTTAATCAACACAATGCCAGATATTACTGGTAGAAATACAATAAATACTGAACAGGCTATTTTTTCTTTAATCATTTCACTCCAAGCAAGGCAAAAATCCCATTAACATGTAGTGGGGTTACCCAGTGTGAAAGAAAAATATTATTAAGGTATGAGAACAATAAAAAAAACAAAAATTAAGAAAACAGAAAATGATGATTAATAACAATTCTGTTGTTAAAGATTCATATTTAAACTGACACTTTTTTTTTTAAAAACCTTTAAATTTCCTGTGGTGCTTTGAGTATAATATATTTTCTCATTGATAAATACTATGAATATATCATAATTCTATTATCTCTCTAACACTTCCATAATTCATGACCACTGACAATTCTTGTTTTTCTCTTTTTCAATGTGTTTCTATAGTTGTTCTTCTTTCCTTCAGGATCTTGAAAGTCATGGCTTTTTACAGCTTACTTTTTCCTTTTAAAGTTTGTGAATTTCCAGGTTTTTTTTGGAAGAGATAATATAGTGGTTACTTTCTTCAGAATTTAGAAGACCAGAATATTCATTCTTCTAGAGTCAATGACATCCAATGTCTATCCTGCTATTGAACCTATTGTTGGGGGAGAAAAGACAGATCATGCCTTTCCCAAGTGTATTATTGGGAAAATGGATACAATAACTCAGAATTTGACCTTGGCTTTGCCTACTGATAACCATTATGCTTCTCACTCATAAATTTCTATCCTCCCTTATGTTCTATGCATGCTTGGCTCATTATGCCTCCTTTTGATTAATGGTTTACATGGCTGAAGACTTCCTGCAGTAGGTTGCTCTTACTTTATCTGGTAGACTGGTTGGCAACATTAAGCTATAGGAGCCATTTTATTCTGCTATATTTACCTATATCTGGAGGAGAAGGGAAGAATTCATATCTTTCCAAAAGATATTTGCATGTAAGTGAATGCAATGAACTCAACTGGAACTTGAACTCAGCTTTTCACTTTCTCATTCCAAGCCATTAACCATTACACTCCGCTGCACATTTAAGCTTACACTACCTAGTATTCCCAAGTGGTCACCCATGTAAGTACTGACAAGCTCAATGTTGCTTAACTTGGGCGATCAGATAAGAACAAGTGTTTCAACATGATATAGATGTCAACCCATTTCTATAGTAAATCATTAACAATGGATTTACATTGAACATATAATGGCCTTTTGTTAGTAATCATTTGCTTAATTTCTTTCATTCTGATGTTTGAAGCATTTTTCTAATATAATCATTTGTACTGCATTTACAATATCCATATAATAGTCGTATTTTGTGCATAATACTTGCATTAATTCATGGCAATAGACAATTCCTTTCTTTTTTTGTTTCCTATCAATCTATATGTACCTGATTGAAACTATAAGTACAAAAAGAAAATTATGTTTACCTGAAACATGAAAACCTGTCTTTCATTATGTGTCATTCATAAGAACTTTGACTTAACTCACCAAATTAAATACAACTGACATCTCTCAACTGCTGTCCATTTATACACTCTAGTCATCAGCCTAACAGAAGTGGCAGGAGTTGACATCACAATAGCAATAAAAATAATTGGCAAACTTGGACATTGGTGCCCACAACAAAACTGAGTGTCAAAAGCATGTTTTTTTTCCCTTGATACTGCTATTATTTTAACTACCTTCACTCCTCGGCAATTGTTGTAACCTAGGGAAAGTTACTGAATCAAATAGTCAAATGAAGTTTGGTAATGAACAATAATACTTAGTTCAAGAACAAAACATATAAGATTCGCCAGTGGCATGTAGAAGTAGTAGTCAACTGCTAGAAGTGAGTCAAGTGAATTCCACAATGAATCTCCAACTGCAGACCAACCTACAGTATTTACTACTGTATTTATATAAATGGGGATATACCCATTATTGTTTGTAGGTATTCTACAACAGCAATATTTATTGTTTTAAAAAGGGATGATCATAATTGTAATAAAACGTAAACATATGATGAAAGTGAATGGATACATCTTTAATTCTTGAGAATTTGCAACAAATATTAAACACTATTAAATTATCAATTTACAAGAATAATTTTATATTTAGAACATTCTAAAAACTAATACAATTACAACTAATGCAATGCAATATTTATCATTTACCAATTTATAAAAAAATAAAATGGAAACTTATTTTTATTCCTAAATTTATAAACATCTACCAAATTATTAAAATATGTGAACCAACTATATGGTAAACTCTGTTATTTACCATTTTATAAAGTTTAGATCAATTGGCAATTAGCCAATATTTTGCCAACCATTCAAATAAACATTATAATAAATAGTTTAAATAAACAAGCTTTAAATTTTTAAAGATCAAAGTTGACAGAAAAGCCAAAAGCTGGAAGAGAGTTCCATAAGTGAGAAGTGTGAGAGAAGAAACTGTCAGCATAGAACTTACAGTTACATCTAGACATTTCTACTGTAAAATGATGAGACCTAACTGCCAATCTAGTAGTCCTTTTCTTGTTTACATGAAAGTGAACATATGTTTAGATTCAATGAATGCAAAGAACACCAAGAAGTATGGTCTATCCGAAATGTTTGGAATATACATATATGTGTGTGTGTGTGCACTCCTATGTACGAATATATATATATATATATATATAAAAATGCCTGTGAAAGCTTTGCATTCAGTCAAACAGAAGCCATGTTTTAATCAAAATCCACAAACTATGCATTAGTAAAGACAATGGCAGATGCATATGTTTAGGAGCATTTCATAGATTGAGCCATGAAGCAGACAGAACATCAACAGTTATGGCAGAAAGTCAAAAACAACTGTCATCCAATTATATTAGAGAGTAACAGCTCCGTTTCACACAATGTCAGTATTGCCTCTCTAATAATGTTAATAAGGAGACTGTATAAATTATTCTGTCATTTTAGATGGGCACTATGCTGTTAAAGAATAATGAATGGTGTGGCTGTTTCTTTGTTTCTCTGTCCATAAATTCTGTAATACTAAAACAAATATATAAGATTAACAAATGAATCCTACTATGATACAAATGTCCAATCTCGAGGAAAATATGAAAGTGATATATCCTCTATGCAATAATTCTACTACTTGAACAGTATTGTAAAATTAACTTACAGATTTTTTTTAATTGAGGAATAAAGCCACTAAATGCAAGGGGTTATTGAGTGTGCAAGAATATGAGAAAAAAGAAAACATTAATGATAAAGGACAATAAAAGAACAGGAAGTAAGAAAGCAAAAGATAACAAATGACATTGCATTTAAAGTTTTGAAGATCAAAGTTGACTGGAAAGCAAGAAGCCAGATCAGAGTTCCATAAATGAGATGTGTGAGAGCTGTTACATCTAGCCATTTCAATTGTAAAATGATAACACATTGCCACCAATCAAGTACTGCACTTAAATTCATAAAGTCTAGGCAATGTAGAGGAAATTTCTTCAGATCAATTATCATAAAAATATTTATAGAAAAGGCACAGAGAAGCTATGTTATGGCATTGAAAAAGTGACTTTGTATGTTATCAGGAATCTCTAAGTATATTGTAGAAGCACCAGACCAGATGTGGCAGCAATGTTCAATGTAGGGATCAATGCTAAATTTATAAATATGTAAGATACAACACAGTGAACCAACTTTCCTGGCAGCAGATCTAGCAACTGATTCAATATAATCTTTCCACTTAACAGAAAATGTTAATCTGAGGAGACATAATGAGTCACTCTCCTGGAGGTTAGATACTAAGTTAGGCAGATTACACAGGTACTACACTGATCCTTGGCAGATATCTGAGAAGTAACACTTTGCTCCTAGTCAGTGTGAACAAATATTCCAAGCCTAGGCAGAGATGGTCATGCATAAATAAGCCAATCAATTTTTGTTGGTACAAAAAGTACAAAGACTTGAAAATAAGAAATGTTTCAACAGAGGACGGAAAATGTGAACCTGAACCCCGAAATAGCATTGGGATAGTGAAATATGCTTTCTAAATGCTAAGCAAAATATCAAGAAACCAAAACATTTCATTAGAAACAAAGAAAAGAGTAGTGAACTATTATGTAATATCAGTCCTCATATATGGCAGTGAATTTTGGACAATCTCCTCAAAGATGAAGAAGAGACTTGAGGCAGTTGAAATGTGGTTCTACAAAAGGATGCTGAAAATACTATGGACTGAACATGTAAGCAACAATGAAGTTTTAGGTAAAATGGAAACAAAAGGAGACTTATACTCAGCATCAGAAACAGATAGTTGTAATTTCTAGGGCATAATGATGAAAGAGGGTTTGGAGAATTTGACACTCACAGGATATATTAAATGCAAGCAGGTAGAGGAAAGCAGCACCTAATGAGCTTATGGAAATGGTTGGCAGAACAGGGATAGATAGCAAAAAGCAAATTTTACCAAGAGCTACAAAGGATAAGAAATTGTGGAGAACCATGATTGCCCACACTCTGAATAGACACTGCACATAGAAAAAGAAGAAAGAGCCAATTTAAAATTTGATATGCATGTAACATAGTGGCTATCAGTGTGAGAATTGGAATCACTGAACTGAGTTCAAATCCCAGCTGAAGCCATATCATTCCCTTTCACACAAATACCCTAGGGGAAGGTATATATTCATTATTTCTCTCCCTATATCTAGCATGGTGAGGCTGTGATTATATGCTCAATGGGGAGTTTACAGTCTTTTAAAAAATACCAGTTTATATATAAATCTTTAATGTTAGTATGTTCAATCTTTATATTATTACTAGCAGTGATATCTTTATTTTTGAATAAAAGTTCACCCAATATGAGCCACTGAAAATATGAGCCACTGAATATGAGCCACTGAAGGGAGAGAGTTACTGTTGTATGACCATAACAGTAGGATGTAAGTGCAGATTATATGGATATATAAGATAGATAATTATTGACCTTAGATTTGAAGAACCACATTTCTTCATTCCACCAGTTCTAATATTCACGGTTAAGATCCGCCATGCTACAGACATTATAGCAAACCACTCTTATTCTGTTCATATCCCATTGATGATATGTAAGTTCCAATCAAGCAGCTTCTTCCTATGAGCTACTGCTTCATGGAACTGACTCTCAATAATCTTAACCTGTTCAAGTTTAGGGTAACCATTATCATCCCCACATATCCCCATAAACTGTACTTCTTACTTTGTAACCCTCTACATAGAGTGGTTCTTGGGCCTTGTACGGAGTGAACATCATTGTTAAAAAAAAAAAGTTAAGATTGTAGTAATTGAAGAAGTATCCACTGTGGAGTTTGCTCTGCAAAGATCCATTTCTTTGATATAATGTGTTAAGCAATTATTTCTTTGCCATCAAATATTATATAAGTAGCACTGTCATAATTAAAGCAGTTCATTAGCTTTAAACATCATGATAATTATTTCATACAGGGCAATATATTACAATTTATAATATTTGCTAGATTTAAAAATGCACAATTGTAAATATCACTGTTGCTTATGTCCCCTAACACCCAAGCTGTGATTTAAATACTGAAGTGGTTACCAATTTCAGAACAAAAAACAGCTTGATTTAAATAATTTCATTCTAAAAACCTGAAAAAAATTGAAAACTGAATATGCAAATTAGTTATCTCCATTTATCAAGAACAACTGAGAGAGATACTATGTGGGCATGCATAACTATATATATACACACACACACACACACACATATATATATATATATATATATATATATAAAAAAGAAATATGTTGTAGTGGTTCCAACGAGAGAAAAGTATGTATATTAAAAAGAAGAGAAGAGAGGTGCGCAAACATTTTTAGGTTGTAATGTGGATTTATTTAGAAAAAATATTATGCTTTGTTTTACATAATTTTACTCGACATCGTGTTTCTGGTCTCGTGACCGTCTTCAGGTAAAAGTGATTTCTACATATTATTAAAAAATAATATTATTAAAATAATTAATTTTTCTTCATGTTCAATGTGAGATATTCTCGATATGAGACATTCTCTGTTTGTGTGTTGGTAATCGAATTTCTTTCTAGAAGACGGTCATGTAGATCAGAAACATGTGTCGTAGTAAAATTATGTAAAACAAAGCATAATA